AGACAGTAAATTCCTATCAGCCTTAAAAAACTCTCTATGTTGCCATATAAACATACCCTTTTCGTTTTCCAATAACCACGGACAAATACTGCCGCAATATGTCGGCCTTTGCATGAAATGCCATGTCTGGTTGGAAGGAATGTGGTATATTTCGATCTACGACCTGACACACACACACAACGGAAACACGAATGTCATCCCGCAGGAAGCAGGCAAGGTCATGAATCCGGGAGCCAACAATCTCAGGTGGTTGACAGGATAGATCGTTCGTGCCTAACTCAAGAATTAATATGTCAGGCTTATAACCCTTCAACCACTCTATATCGTACGCAAAAATCCTGTGCCTTTCAAGGAAACATGTCCTGAAGACGCCAGATGAAAATTCTTGTACCCGCGCTTGTCAAAATCCGAATTCAAATCCTCGTTTAAGCGACATACGAAAGAGTGGCCGAATATTAGAATGTTGGGTATAAAGCCGGACATATTATGCAAAGTAATTACTGTAATTATAACAAATAAATTTATTAAATAGGCAAAGCCAGAATACCTCCGATCCAATGAAGTTCTTGAAGTTCTTGTATAAAACTTGAAGACGTGACAAGACCGTAGCTTGAGAACAATGATCTTGTCGTGACTTGTGAAGTTCTTTATATAAAGTCACGTAAGGTCACGTGCTATACCGCATGCAGTGCCTGATAAAATTTTTACTTACATTCGGCGTTTCTGCGCTTGTGGGTATTCAAACCCACAGCCTTCCTACAACTTTTCCCACATATATCGCACAACACTTCTTGGCCACATGGACATTCTGGTACCTGGCAGCCAGTCCTGCCCTCCTCCCCCACGCACAACCTCATCATCTTTGCCTGTTCTTTCTCTGTTCTTCTTCTACAGTTCTTTTTATGGCTACCTAGGCCTTGTGTGTTTTTAAAAATTGCGTCACAATATGGACATTTGTGGGGGTTTTTATCGCTGCTGCTGTTGTTGTTGTTGCTGTTGTTGTTGTTGCTGTCGTTGCTGCTGCAGGTGGCTTCCTCCTCACCGCCCAATACAAGATGCCACCACCAACACATGCCGTCATATTCATCGCTCTTGTCTCTTCAAGCTTCCTCCTTTTCGGCGCCAGCGATGACACCACCACCGGACTCACCGTTCCCGTCAGCGATAGCGGGCCGCCTGCATGCATTGCCGTGGAATTTAATCGCATTGACACTCATCTCGTTCTTTCACAAACATCAGATAAGCGAGGGTTTCCAGGGTTGCCACTGACGGAAGACATTTCAGTTTGGTAAATTTCACCTCGAATTTCACTACCGAACTGATTTGTATTTCAAATTTCGTGCTATTTAGTTTTAAATAAAGTGGGCGGTGCTTAGGAAGCGGAAGTGACGTTTAAATTCTTGTGTGTTACCACTTGGTGTTTCCTTATTTTCCTTTTCTTTTTTAACAATTAATTTAATGATCACCCTGGTGATACATTTGTTAATAATTAGCAAATGATCATCCTGGTGATCATTTTATTAATTTTTAACCCATTACAAAAGACATTCCACTTTTCCTTTTTTCTTTCCTTTTTTCCTTTATAACACATTGCACATGCGTAACAGAGCTCCAAACCCAAAGCCGTGGTTGGCCAAACTAATTTACAATTTAAATTTCGCGCTTATTAAATTCTTGTGTGTTACCACTTGGTGTTTCCTTTTTTTCCTTTTCTTTTTTAACAATTAATTTAATGATCACCCTGGCGATACATTTGATAATAATTAGCAAATCATCATCATGGTCATCATTTTATTAATTTTTAACCCATTCCAAAAGACATTCCACTTTTCCTTTTTTCCAGGGTAATTTTAATATTAAGTACTATGATAAAAATAATATGATAATATAATTTTAATATTAACTACTTTGATAAATTGGATAAAATAAAAACTTATACCAATACATCAAAGTAATTATTATAAAATAAACTTTTACCCGCGTCATTTCCAGGTTATCCCTTTTTAAAATAAATTTTTAAATAATGTGAATTTAATATACTGGCACGACAAAAATCGCTCCAGTACATCAAAGCCAATTTTTTAAAAAATAGTGATAACAAAAATCGCTTCAGTACATCGATAACTCATTTTGGAAAAAAATCGTCAGTACTTTTAGAAATAAAAATGTTAATTTTTGTATAACCTCTTCCTCCAGAACATATAAAAATGTCCTGGAGATGAAGTTATTACAAAAAATTATTATTTCTTCCTTTCAACGGTGTAAACTGTACAAAGATGCATTGATGAAACATGTAATAATAATAAAAATACATGTTTTCATCAATGTAACTTGGACAATTTTAACTTATTTTCTAAACCTATATTATCTTCATTTTTTCATTAAGGGAGGTGCTGCTGGACGATGGCAAAAAACTGACTATCGCGAGCAAAAACTCTTTAATAAAAAAACAGTCCAGTTTCTTCTTTTTTCTTCGTTGGGTACAATGATCAATATAACGTTGGTATAATCATCTTTCGGTAAACGAAGGATGATCATTCCAACGATGTATCAAACATATTTTCATTATTAGGTTTTTCATTATAATGGAACACGTCTTTCTTTCTTCATTCTTTTTTCTTTCTTCTTCAAAATGATTTCTTTTTTAAATATCCTGGGTGTAATAGTATTATTAGTATTTTGATCAACCTTATCAGCATACATATAAAGTAGACGTTGACGAGGTTGAAAAAAATAATTGTACTAAAATAACAATAATGTTTTCTTTATATTTCGGTTATTTTAAAAATGTGGCGATATTACCTGTGAATTTGTTATATAAACAGCAGATTCAAAAGCAATACGGCAGCATTTTTAAAACTTAAAATTTATCTGTAAAATGTATTTTAGTTTAACATTCCTGTGTTTAAATTTGGAATTTAAAGTATGTATGGAGGAAATGTTGGTATGTTTTTTATTTTTACTCTTGGGTAAATAAATAGCGAGATAAAACTAAAAATCATTTATCGCTTCCCTTGCCTTTAACAGAACCATGCAAATTATCATACTCATTCCAGCGTACCCAAGTCATGATGAGCTCCGTTTTCTGGGCGAAATATCAAGCGGACAATAAATAGACAAAACTGCAATTGGGAAATAAATGGCTATGCGTGTAGAGCGCATGCCGAATTATTATTTCATAACAAATGTTACAATTTTACTTTTTGAATACGTAAATAAGAGTTCGTTAACTGTTCGCACAGAAAAGGTGGGGTAAAACAAACGCCCACACAAAGACTACTTACAGGTAATAAACATAGCCAAATTATCTATAAAGAACGCAGTAGTTACATGTTGCAAGCAAGGGCGGAGAGGGCGGGTGAAGTTCTTGTATAAAACTTGAAGACGTGACAAGACCGTAGCTTGAGAACAATGATCTTGTCGTGACTTGTGAAGTTCTTTATATAAAGTCACGTAAGGTCACGTGCTATACCGCACGCAGTGCCTGATAAAATTTTTACTGTGAACTTGCAAAATGTAACAACTCTTTCCCGTAAAATACATATTAGAGCTACTAATACCGGTAAAACCAATTTAGCCTGAGGCTTAAATAAACAAATAAAAATGGGACTGGGAAGCAATAAAATTATTATTCGCCGAGGCAAATAATTCCTTTATCGCTTCCCTTGCCTTTAACAGAACCATGCAAATTATCATACTCATTCCAGCATACCCAAGTCATGATGAGCTCCGTTTTCTGGGCGAAATATCAAGCGGACAATAAATAGACAAAACTGCAATTGGGAAATAAATGGCTATGCACGTAGAGCGCATGCCGAATTATTATTTCATAACAAATGTTACAATTTTACTTTTTGAATACGTAAATAAGAGTTCGTTAACTGTTCGCACAGAAAAGGTGGGGTAAAACAAACGCCACGAGCATGGTCGGGTAGGCAATGCTCACCCCACCCCAGCATGACGAGGGAACGCTGGAAAAAACACCCGAGATACAAACTAAATACACCATGTGCAAAAACTCGTAATATACGTGGCAAATAAATATGGAGAGACACAATTGGAAGGTGAACAACGGTGAACAAACTAAACAAGTCATGCCCCTGCGTTGACCTGTAAGCTGTACATGCATCCGCGTTGCTTCGACCCACACTAACATAGTCTTAGGAGTACAGAAAGTTTGCCAGTGCACAAGATATAAACACAAAGCTTGCAGCCATCACAAATCGACCTATGCAAGCCGAAGAAATTCAAGGGGGTGTAGTCAAGCTAGGGGTCCGAATGTATTTTTTAAAAGCATCTGATTTCCAACGGCCCATTGCTCGTATTTGGGCGTCTGAAAATCCGGACTCGGCTGCAAAAGTAGCAGCTCCAATACGGAAGCTATAACCTTATATTTAGTAGAGTCCAGTCCACAATTGTGTAGGACAGTTGCTAAAATTTCATCGAAAAGTTTCCGTTGTATAGGTAGGCCGTCGATTGTACAAAATAAGGGACCGTCAGAGAGATCACGAAAGGAAATATAGTCAACTAAGTACTGAACTGGGCATATGTCTGCCCAACGTGATAAGCTAATCTGAACAGACGGGCGATTATAAGAGTGTTTAAAATCATTAAACTTTATTTTAAAGCCAACAGTGGAACCGCTACTGTCCAACATCCTTGTAACCTGCCCGAGCTGAATGAAAGATGCAGATCGAGCACCAGCCGTGATTTCTTCAATGCGTAGAAATGCAAAAAAGGCCGTGGTAAACATGGCACTGAATAAGTAAGCTCTGTACCGGCTAGAGCTAAGTGAATGTACTGCTTGTATGATTCTGTATAGAATTGGAAGAGTGATTGGTAAACGTGTGTCAATACGTGTTCCGAGTTTACCATAACCTTTCAGCATTTCTACGACCCAAAAGACTTTAGTGGGGTCAGAAAAACCGGACAAGCGATGGCAATAACCGAGTGCAGAGACATAGGTGTATGCGGTCGACGCAGCATAATGATGTTGAAACATAAAGGCAATAAAAAGGCCTAAGTTGGTAGGCGATATCGGCAAAGAAATATTAGGGATATGAAAAATTGAGGAAGAAAAATGACTGTAAAGTCTCCAGGCCCTTTGATAAGTCGGGATTGATGAGGGCTGCAAGCTTGATTTAACTAGTGAGGTGGTTATATCAACCAATTGAATTGCCTGGTAAAAGCGTTTCCGGTATTATTGTCGGGAATGGGTGCGTGGTCACTGGTGCAGCCTGCGTGAATGAGGTGACCTGCAAACGGGACAAAGAATCAGCTAAATGATTTTCTACCCCCGGTACGTGCTTTGCTCGAAACAAAATATTAAATTTCAAGCAGGCCAGCACCAGCCGGCGCACAAAACCCATTATCATTGGATCCCGTGAGGTTGTTTTGTTAATGATATCCACCAATGCCGCATTATCCGTGAAAAAGATGATACGCTGATTTTTCATTAGATCGCCCCAAAGAAGGACGCTGAGTGCAATGGGATAAAATTCTAAAATCGTAATGTTAAAACCTTTCCAGTGCTCTGGCCAGGCGCCATAGCACCAATATGGCCCAAATATTGCACCAAAACCCAAACTACCCGCAGCATCTGTGTACAAATTTAAGGTGCGAGAATCGTGCCATTTATCATTGAGAAACATTGAGCGGCCATTAAAATCATCCAGAAAGGATTTCCAGAGACTTAAATCCCCTTTAACCCAGTTTCTCAGCCGAATAAAATGTTTGGCTGATCTAACACCTTTTGTGAGGTCAATGAAACGACAGAGGAAAGCCCGACCCAGGACAATAACAGAGCAAGCAAAATTTAATAGCCCAATCAAAGATTCTAGCTCTTTCAACTGCACTTTTTTCCGTGTTAGAAATGATGAAACGAGGGAGTGGCATTTTCCAATTTTGTCTTGAGGTAGTCGGGCCTCCATCCGTACTGTGTCAAGTTCAATACCAGCAAAGATAAGGATGCTCTGCGGGCGACTTGTTTTCTCTTGTGCAATAGGCACACCCAAATATGCACACATATGCAAGAATTTCTCAAGGTTAATGCGACATTGGACGAATGTATGCGCGGCCATTAGAAAATCATCTAATATATGGATAAGATGCGGAATGTTTAAATGGTGGTGCGCAACCCATTCCAGAGATGTGCAACCTCGTTCCCAGGGCTTTTCCCTTTTTGTCATTGGGAAGGCGGGAAAAGGCCCTGGCACCGGCCGGTCACATGACTTTCAACACCCAGATATAGTGGGTGTAATAAATTATAATAATAATGAATTAGAAAATCCAAGATGGCCGCCAACCTAAGAGTGCCCACAAAATTTAAGTGCTTAGAACGGCTTAAAAATGCGTTTAGTCTTTGAAATTTTTCCTTCTTTTTGCTACCGACTGTAGGATATTTAGCATATGTTATATTATGGAATGTTGTGGAAGCACCATGTGGAAGCACCATGTAAATATAAAGAATGGCAAGCGGCCATTTTGTATTCTAAAATATATACTTGGTTAGTGTGGTTGTAATCAGTTGTATTGTGGTTCAATCCGTATTTGTTAGATTCTACAATTGGCGACGAGGATGTCTTAAAGAGTTGAACTATAGTTTTAAACGAAAATGAGTTCAAAAGAGTTTGATATCGGAGGATTTCGACCGTTTGATGTGAACAGTGATCCGAACAGTGTTGGGTCTGAATGGAAACGATGGCTTCGCAGTTTTCAGTTATATGCTGACGGTAAAGGACTTATTATTGAGGCTGGAAAAGATGACAATAAGGTGCAGCGACGAGCACTTCTACTTCATTGTGCTGGATCGGATGTCCAGGATATTTTCGATGTTTTGCCTGAGACGGGGAATGCAAAAGAATACGAGAAGGCCGAAGAAGCTTTAACCAGACATTTTGTCACCCAAGTCAACGTTCCGTATGAGCGACACATGTTCAGAGAAATGGCACAGAATGAAAACGAAACGATTGATCAGTTTGCTATACGCTTGCGACGTAAAGCTCAGCAGTGTGATTATGGAGATCAACTGGAGTCTCAGATCAGGGATCAAATTATTTCCAGGTGTCGGTCGAGTGATCTGCGAAGGAAGTTTCTGGAGAAGGGTCAGACGCTTAACCTTAAACAATTACAAGAAATAGCAAGAACGTCTGAAGCTGTGAAAAGACAAGCAAAGAGTATGAGTGTTCATAATGATGGAGTGAACCGAGTTTCTGAAAGGCCTGGTCGACAAGATAGACGTGAAAGTAAAGGTGAGAAAGGTGGAAAAGTTAAGAAGAGTGGTGAATGTTTTCGATGCGGAAAACCAGGACATTTTGCCAGAGATCCCAAATGCCCTGCGAAGGGAAAGGAATGTTCCAAGTGCCACCAGAAAGGTCATTTTGCTGTGGTATGCAAAACCAAAAGTAAAGATCATGGCAAACCAAGAGTGAGTTTTGTCGATGAAGAAGATGAATATGCCTTTACTGTTAAAGAAACATTGGACACAGGGAGAGTGACAGTGTCTGTTGGAGGTATTCCATTGGAAATGGTCATTGATTCCGGAGCGAGTACGAATGTCATTGACAAATATCTGTGGGAAAATTTAAAGAAAAAACACATTAAATGCACTTCAAGGAAAACCACAAAGAAACTGTATGCCTATGGATCAACAACTCCCCTTACAGTAATAGGAACATTTACAGCAGATGTAAATGTAGCTGATAGACACGTGACAACAGAATTCACAGTTATCGAAGGAAAGGGGGAGCCGTTATTGGGAAGAAAGACAGCAACCGAGCTTGGAGTCCTAAAGTTACAAATTCCAGAACAGTTTGTGAACAGTGTGACTGATCGTGTTGCGAGACACAAAGTTTTGTTCCAAGGTATTGGGAAATTGAAAGAGTATCAAATGAAGCTGCATATTGATCCGCAGGTTCGACCAGTTGCACAGTCTGTTAGGCGGACTGCATTCAGCTTGAGAGGAAAGATCGAGGAAAAACTTGACGAGTTACTTCGTGAAGACATTATCGAGAAAGTTGATGGGCCGACCCCATGGGTGAATCCAGTTGTGGTGGTGCCAAAGGCGAATGGTGAGGTCAGATTATGTGTGGATATGCGGTGTGCCAACAAAGCGATTATAAGGGAGAGACACCCGATCCCAACTATTGATGAAATACTCCAGGATATGCAAGAGGGAGGTGTTTTCAGCAAGCTAGATCTCAAGTGGGGGTACCACCAGATAGAATTAAGTGAAGAATCCAGAAGCATCACAACTTTCGTGACGCACAAGGGCTTGTTCAGATACAAGAGGTTGATGTTCGGTATAAGTTCAGCGCCAGAGAAGTATCAGCAGGTGATTCAACAAGTGTTGCAGGATTGCAGTGGGACAGCCAACATCTCGGACGACATTATCATTTATGGTTCTGATCAAGGTGAACATGACAAGCGACTAGAAAAAGTGCTGACAAGGCTCGAGGAAAGAGGTTTAACCCTCAACAAAGACAAATGCGTTTTCGATATGCCAAAGCTTACGTTCATGGGCTTACTCTTATCAAACCGTGGTATTGGTCCGACAGAAGAAAAGGTTAGAGCGGTCGTGGAAGCTCGAGAGCCGCAGAATGTAACAGAAGTGAAGAGTTTCTTGGGCTTGGTGAATTTCAATGCAAGATTTATTCCAGATCTCGCAACTGTTGCAGAGCCAATGAGACGATTGGCGAAGCGAGGAGTACCATTTGTTTTTGGTCCTGAGCAGCAAGAATCGTTTAGAGAACTGAAACGTAGGCTTGCCCAAGCGGAAACCTTGAGTTATTTCGATCGAGACGCGAAGACCAAGATTGTTTGTGACGCAAGTCCAGTTGGGCTAGGGGCAATTTTACTACAAGAGCACAAAGGAGAGGATCGAGTCATTTGTTATGCCAGCAGAGGTCTTACCGAGGTCGAAAGACGATACTCGCAGACTGAAAAGGAGGCCTTAGCAGTGGTGTGGTCGTGCGAAAGGTTCCACGTCTACTTGTACGGAAGACAGTTTGAACTGTGGACTGACCATAAACCTTTAGAATGTATCTATTCAGCTCGTTCTAGACCATCAGCGAGGATCGAGAGATGGGTTTTGAGACTGCAACCGTATTCGTTTACAGTGAAATACCTGCCGGGGCATTTAAATGTTGCAGATTCGTTGTCACGTTTGACAAAGATCGGAGAGATGAAGTCCGGAAGTATAGCTGAAGATTATGTCAGTTTTGTTGCAAAGACAACAATTCCAAGAGCCATGAATTCCAGAGAAATTGAAGAAGCATCTTCTTGCGATGAAGAATTAATGACTATTCGTCAATGTATCGAGACAGGAAATTGGGACAGTCCCAAGTGCGCCAGTTACAAGTCAGTTCGTGATGAACTTTGTATTGTTGGAAAGATTGTCTTGAGAGGTACACGGATGGTCATACCACAGAAACTCCGACCAAGAGTGATTGAATTAGGCCACGAGGGCCATCAAGGAATTCTCAAGATGAAACAACGACTGCGTACGAAAGTCTGGTGGCCGCGGATTGACCAAAAGCGGAAAAGTTCTGCAAAACGTGTCATGGATGTCAAGTTGTGAGTAGACCTATTAATCCAGAACTATTGCGAATGACAGAATTACCCCTGCGACCATGGCAAGATATCGCTATAGATTTCATGGGTCCATTGCCGTCGGGAGATTATGTATTTGCTGCAACCGATTACTACAGTCGATACGTAGAGGTGACTACTGCGAAAAGAAATACAGCTGAAGTTGCGATTAAAAGTTTGGAAAACATGTTTGCAACCCGTGGACTACCGTGGACAGTGACAAGTGATAATGGTCCTCATTTCCTTGCAGAGACGTTCGAATCATTCCTGCAAGAGAATGGAATTGAACACCGGAAGACAACGCCCAAGACAAAGGTGAGATCGAACGCCAGAACAGATCTCTACTCAAGAGGATGCAAATAGCAAGAGTGGAAGGACAAGATTGGAGGCAAGCAGTGCAAACGTACCTGATTGCTTATCGAAATACACCTCATCCAACGACAGGGATGTGTCCTGCTGACTTGATGTTCAGAAGAAAACTGAGAACTAAACTTCCAGAGCTGAGAGAAAATGTTAGATTGGATGAAGAAATGCGAGACAAAGACAGAGAGAAGGAGAAAATGAAAGGTTATGCTGACAAAAGAAGGAATGCGAAGGAGAGCAATTTATCTGAAGGAGACAAAGTGTTGTTGAAACAGCAGCGCATCAACAAGTGGACAACAACGTTTGAAAGTCAACTGTATCAAGTAATTGATAAACACGAGAACAGTGTATTGGTCGAGTCACCCGAAGGTGTTCAGTATAAAAGAAACACAACTCATGTTAAACCGTTCCAGGAAAGAGAATGTGGTTCAGAGGAAATCGAAATGTCAGCGACAGTACCTGAAGTACCTCCAGAAAAAAGTGTTCTACAGCAAGCGGAGGGAGAAACATCATCTGCCGGGGAAACATCATCGCAAGGTGATCGTGATGGGCGATTGCCAATTGGAGACTCTAACCAAACAGCAGAAAGTGTGCCAGTCAAATGCCCAATACCTGTGCGTACCAGACGTGCGCCAAAAAGATAAAAACAGGTTGTATTTAGAACGTTTAATTAACTAAAATTTAGAAACTTTATAGGTAGTATTTAGTATATTATAGTGAACTTTTTAAAAAACTCTTAAAAACATTGAAAAAAGAAAGGGATGTAGGATATTTAGCATATATTATATTATGGAATGTTGTGGAAGCACCATGTGGAAGCACCATGTAAATATAAAGAATGGCAAGCGGCCATTTTGTATTCTAAAATATATACTTGGTTAGTGTGGTTGTAATCAGTTGTATTGTGGTTCATCCGTATTTGTTAGATTCTACATCTTGGACCATGCATTTAAGAGCCTGGAAACGAGGTTGGCATTTGGCTTCCTAATACAGAAAACTTTTTTCGTGAATTGGTTGATTTAATAAGAAATGCTGAACAAAGTCACTCTGACTCGCCAGCCTTTTATTGTCGTAGATTACTATGAGAGTATGAACGCACATTGAGTATTTTAACAACAAGAACCACCAAATATAATCATACCCAACGGAGCAGTTTTTAATCAACGATCTACATGTACTATACTACTATTATTTAAATAGCTTACGAAATGAATTCGACGTTATTGTTGAAAATTATGAACAAACGTCAGAGCGTTTTCACGAGAAGAGTCTTTTCGTTTTTGTTCACAGACGGTTTTTGTGGTCTCCTTTGCCCCGCACTTTGAAAACTATAGTTTTGCCTCGGGTTAAAATTTTGAGAAGAAACCCTTATACTCGATGCTGGCTGTGGCACAGATGCATTATTTGGTACAGACGAATTATAAGTACGTGGTATTCGGCGGAAACGAGAATTCAGTTCTTCGGTAACGATGTGAACTGCTGCACTGAAACGCCTTGTGATACTGCGTTTTCTTCACGTGTTTGCTAAGAATGCTGTAAATTGGACACCGCGAGCGCTTAAGATTGACTGAACGAAATCCTGAACATTCAGTATTCTGCCCTGTCTCTCTTCCGAACAGATCTACTTCTATTTTTCCAATTTACTTCCGCTTCCTCATCTTTCAGTTGTATTCACTTCCGTTTCCTCATCTTTTAGTTGTATTGGTTCATATTTTAGTTGGATCGGTTTATGACATTGATGTATTTGCACATAACATTAAGAAATAGCACATAACACCAATTTATAGCGCATAAACTCGATTGATACATTTCAGATATTTTGTCCGCTAAAAAACTTCATACAATAGTATTGATTAAATATTCATTAAGATCACTGTGCTAGATATACTGCCAGACATGGTGGATGGTGCACGACACAAATTGCGATACCAGAAAAAGGTCTAGGGAGGCGATTAAGTCGTAGGTTCAGCCATAAGCATTCCAAATTTTCACTTTCTAGATCTACTCGTCGTATACAAACTCCCCCATCTCGACCAATTACGAGATCTTTACGAAATAAATTGTAACCATCAATTAACAATAAGCTGCTGTCTATGTGTTCATGTAACCATAACTCAGTTATTGCGGTAGTAACAACAGGCTTGGAACTTCGAAGCGCAGTCAATTCGTCCAGCTTTAGAAGGAGGGTGCGCGAATTTAGTGTGAAGAAACAAATCAGCCTCCATTAATAATCTAATTAACAATCGCCGTTTTGATTGGTTGTTATTTTCGTGTTAAAAGGAGGCGTATCCAAATCACTGTCCAGGCTCTATTTTCACAACAGTACCTGGCACCCAAGCTAACAGAAGAACATCCAATTTCCTGCTTCATACTGGATATCTATTGCTATATTCTATGTTAAGTGCCATTTTCTCAAAAGATATGAGGGGGATTGGGTGAATGGTGGAATAGGGGTATACAAATCCGCCGATCCGCCAAAATTTGAACTAAAATCCGCCGATCCGACAATGGTCTTGTCAAAATTTGGATCCTTCAAAAGCTCTACTATGCAGACACAATCCAGGATTTGAGCCAAAATATTAGATAAATCCGCAATCCGCTGTACAAATAAGATCTGCAAATCCGTGTAAAATATCCGGACAATTTTTTCGGTGAAATCCGACGATCCGAAAACGTATTCCACCCCCTCCCCTCGCCCCAAAGGGTGTTGGGCTGTCAATTTCCCGTTTGTAATCTAAAATGACTGAAAATTGCAAACTTCGCAAGGCTATATTATCCGCATTTTACAACATTTCGCAACGAAACTGTGGAATATTTAACAAATATAAAACATTTTCCGTGTTGATATACAGTTATATCAACACGAGTGGAAATTGGGAAAACGAGAAATTGTGTGGAAACACGACGCCCGAAGGGCGGACTGTTTTCATACAATTTCAAGTTTTCCCAACTTCCACGAGTGTTGATATAACTATATATCAATACGAAAAAAAAGTTTTATATTTGTTTTATAATATAGCAATGTCAAAAGCCCGAAGAATAAGAAAAATTTCCGTGTTTACAAGCGGCGGAAAATTTCCCGTGTTGACATGGAGTTATATCAACACGGCTCTTAGCCAATCAGCGTTCGGAATTTACAAATGCTATATTATAATTTTCGTTGATGATCACGAGTACCCTTTTAATAGGAATTAAGACTTTTAAGGTTTTTATAACCACTCGACTGAGCTACGTAATTGGTGGGGATATCTGCATCCATCAACCGCGAAAGGTTTTTCTGACGCAGTGGTTGGTGATGTTGCCTTCGATGCCTGCGCTTTTCACTGCTTTCGAGAGAAACTTACCAATCTCGTTTTTACCCAAGGGAGCTTTTTGATACCACACGGGCTTTTCTGGCTTTCGTTTGTGATTGATAGCGAGGAAAAACGGTGCTTCGGGGTCTTTTATTGGATCTGGTCGACGTTTCATAAACTCTTTGTAAAATCTTACAGGACAACTTTCGCCGTTTGTTGCATTGCTTCTGCAACGGGATTAAATGCTCGTTGCTACCCATAATTTCAATTGCGTGCTTTTAGCCCTCGTTCAGACTGTCAAACTAAAAACTGGCTGCCGTTTGCTTCGTCTCCGCACAGTTTCACATCGTCGTCGCCCCATTTTAGTTTAGTTCTCCGGAAATTTTTTTTTGATAGGGGCTCCCCAAAAAAATTTGCCAACCTCTCGGCGGCCCTGGCTGATGTTATATGAGACCTTTACTCTTTAGATACATACATACATACATAGACTACATAAAAATTTATTTAAACATTTTAGCCCTAACATCTTTCGATGATTTCCATAGGGGACTTGTAAGATTAAGACTAATGCATTATACAGCATACAAACTATTTACATAATTATTCTTTAGACAATTAGCAAACATAAATAAATAACAATACATACAAACTATTTACATAATTATTCTTTAGAAAATTAGCAAACATAAATAAATAACTATACATACAAACTATTTACATAATTATTGTTTTCGAAAATTAAGTTTCATTAGTCTTTTGTAACAACTCATAGAATTGGATTGTTTTTCAGTAATTGATAAGTTATTCCAAAGAGTAGTAATTGCTCCATTATAACTGAAGGTCTTTTTCTTAAATTCTGATCGTTATAAATAATCCCTATCTATCCATTAGTATACAGTTAGTTATGCAAATTCGTATTGCCTTAATCCTTTTAATTACCTACATGCCTCCTAATGATTTAGCAACACATAACAACGCAACATTTGCAAAGTTTAAAACATATTTATTGATACAAATAACAGACGATATGTCAAAAAATTACAACTATGAGTGTTTGTTAAACTGTTCTACAAGTTTTTTCTCCAAGAATCATTGATAAGCAATTTTATGATCGGCCTCAAAACTTCTAAATCGTTCACCCGTCGCCTTCACAGAATACAGTAATAATATCCATTTATATCCATTATGATCCTATTGGTTATGCAAATTCGTATTGGCTTAATCCCCTTAATTACTTCAACCTTTGTGTTTTACACGTGGGAATTACCTTGCAATCACATTCTGTGTAAATTAATTATATTCCCTTAAAATTTATCAAAAAATACGGACATGCAAACCTCAAGATGTTTCTGACGTTCTGTACCTAGCAGCAACGCATAGCAAGCCAAACTTAATCCCTCTATACTCGATTCTGATTGGTTAAAAACCGTGCCGATTAAACATTAATCGGCACAGTGTGCCGATTAAAGATTAATCGGCACGGATACGAGCCCGCGTGGATCATGCGTGGAGTAAACACAAAATGTCAACTTGAAAACAAATAACTTTAGTTGAAAATGTACATTTTCTGAGCTCTTTGTTTACAATGAACTCTTATTTATGCTTTCATAACGAAGAAAAAGGAAGAAATAAAGATTATTCACAGTTTTTACAGGTATGAATTGAAAATTAATGTCAGAAAGTGCTCTCAAAAATTGACCACATGCAGTCGCGCGTATATGACTTTGCTCGCTTGATTACAAATACAATGTTTCTTATCATTGATTGCTCGTGTAAAATTGACTGCTAAATGATATTAATAGGAAATTACACTTGTTCTCGAAGTATTAATGAAAAAAATCACACTTGTGTTTGGCGAAATATTTATAATACCTACGCACTCGCGGTATTATAAATATTTCGCCAAACACGCTTTTCATTAATACTTCTCGAACCGTGTAATTTCCTATACTAATATCACACACGTGGAGGGACGCTAAAAAATGCCTAGTCAGCAAGTTTTGACACATTTCGCCCGAACATGCCCGCGTGACGTCAATGCATATATTAAGTGAACACACCCTACAAGAGGTCCACCACCTCATTCTATGCTAATGATGATGCGCCGCCCTGAATATTTTATGATGCGCCGCCCCAAAAATCCGGCCCGAACGGTACCTATATTACTACTGACGCAGTATTCAAGTGCGCTGCACTAGGGTGAATAATCATTCTCCATGAGTATTTGCTTTTAACATAAACACTAGATAGGCAGGCAAATGAGGCAATAACCGCAGAAAGTGTTCCTTAATATCTTCCGTCAATCAAAAACATCGTTTGGTAAAGCTCCGTAACATCAGACAGGAAGTTGCAAACGACACAGAGAGCCGCGCAAAATCTTATAATAATAATTTGGAGTGAAAGCGGGCAGACGCAGTATTGACGTGCGCTGCACTGGGTGTGAAGAATTGTCTTCCGACTCCTCCATAAACTAATGCATGTAGTTTTGTAAACATCATGCAAGGCAGGCAATAACTACAGGAAGTGTTCCTAGTGTTCAGAAACATTGAGTCGCTTATATACTGAAGCACCCTATAATATCAGACTGAATGAAGTTCTGAAAACGACTTATTTCATATTGTCACATGTTGCGATTTACATCATCCCGTAATACAGTACCATTAGTGATGCATTTACTGTTTACAGTTACAACCATATTTCGACGTGATATACGAATTAGTAATATATATTACATAATATAATATTATATATATATATATATATATATATATATATATATATATATATATATATATATATATATATATATATATATATATATATATATATATATATATATATATATATATATATATAGATAGATAGATATATAGATAAATATCAATGTAATAAATACTTTGCGAATTATTGTATTAATGATCGATAATTATCTTGAAAACGATTTTTATCTTTGTAAACTTCCAACAAATACATAAAACGTTGCGATTTCACTTTCACCGAAACACTATTAGAACAAAACATCTCTCACAGAATAAAAAGCCGCCATGAAAGTCTTTTCAATTTCAAAATTCGAATTAAAAAAGTACTTCCTCCGTGAGTATATCTATATAATATCGTCTTCATAATACGAAAGCGAACATATAGCTGCATCCGTTCGAGTGCTTGAATAGAGGAAGCTCCATAGTATATTGCTAACATTATTTTCATAATATAGTAATTGTATTATTCCAATGCCAGCAGTCACAACTGCATCTGCTGGAGACAAATACATGTAATATCAGAGTTTTACTGTAATGATTCTGGAGGAATTAATTGGTTCTTTTGTCGCTGTTTTTACGGAACTGATTCAAACGCCACGTCTATCCAGGGGAACTCTACCAAGAGACTGTAGGTTATTAATATTCGAAGAAAATCCTGAACAAGACGAAGTATGTGATGGCTTGATACACCGTGAGTACGAGCAAGGGGGACAGCCCGAGTTGTCTTATTATGAAGAAGAATTATCAGCTTTGGTGCAAACTGATCAAGAACGCAGGCGAAATTTCTGCGAATCATTTCTACGAAGTTGTAAGGCAAACGTCGGATTAGTAATGCAGGCTTTCTTCATAATAGGCTCGCTGATTGTTGGCCTTGTCTATCTTGACTTAAATACAAGTAATGCGTGCATACAATGGGTGCATAACAAGTTCGTCGTTTCTTCACACGTGCGGATTTTACAAATAACTGGGATGTCTTTGAAATTACTGCCGTTTTATGCATGGTTTCCGACAACCGTTTTTTTGTTGTGGGGTTTCAGAGAGTTCAAAAAGAATTATCTGTTGTGTTTGTTTATCTGTCAGTTGGTGACAGCATCCATTGCTTGTGTTTACGGGATTATTGTATTTGATAGGTTAGAGATATTCACTGATTACAGCAAATATAGGTGAGTGCTATGCTGGTGAGTAAAGGTATAGCTAAGCTAAGCTAAGCTAAGCTAAGCTAAGCTAAGCTAAGCTAAGCTAAGCTAAGCTAAGCTAAGCTAAGCTAAGCTAAGCTAAGCTAAGCTAAGCACACAAGATATAGGACAAATGTGGGAATGGTACGAAAATTGATCTTCTTGCGTTCATGTATGGTGCATGGCCTACACATATAGGGGTCCCAATTTTATCCTAAATGTTTCAATGCATGACCGTCGCAGGCTCGCAGGCACTTCTATTTTTGTTTACTTTTGGAATCTTACTCTCTAATGCATGATACAAATTTTTGCCTGCATGAATAATTTTAAATTAAGTACGTGAAAAATGACGAGAACGGAAGTATTCCGGGATACAGAGGATACTGTATGGGTACGTCTGAGGTATATAGCGACGTTGAGGTATTTATATGACTTAATTCAGGATTGTGCTAAGGCAGTTATTACAATAGGCTTGTGGAACGTAAAATCTGGTTGAGCATCTACAGTAGCTTTGTCGTTTAACTGAAACCGCAAATATATTGCTGGAGCCAATAATATGTTTGTTCCAGCTAATGCTCCGGTGACAGATCGATGCTTATATAGACGCTCATGGGATGTGCACAGAGTTTCACAGGCTTCGAGCATTTAAAATTTTAGACGTACAGGGCTCAGGTATTTACAACTTTTAGGGGTTTGAGTTTGTGAATGTTTCTTTCCGATATAAACTCATTTAGCCTGCGAGGCAGGCTCTGGTTAGGGGAAGAAAGAGCCTGCAGTCGCTTCTAATAAATTTTCGTGTATAGCGTTTGCCCGCGAACGCTAGCTTTTGATTGGCTATAGCTCTAATGACACGTAAACTAACAGTAATAGAGAAGTTAAGATACCCTGGTTCCGGTTTACGGGTACGAGTATCGCCATTTTGTTGACCTATTTTTGCTGATGTCAGCAATTTTTCCCGTAATTTTTCACCGCGGTAAACCGTGGTCTACACGTAAAAGACAAACGGGTACGGTTGTTTTCTGCTTACTATTTTTGGGCCGTTTAAATATTACAAATTTTCAACATCTTACCCAAACAAATAATGCACGTATGGCTGGTCAAAGTATTCAACAATTTATCGGCGAACCTCAACAGCGAAAATTGCCATTCTCTGATCGGTTTTCTCACGCCGGAGTATCTTGGATTTTTTAAGTTACAAGTTATTCCCCGATTTACGGGTACGGGTATATCACCCGTACCCGTAAACCGGAATCGGGGTACATTAACCTCTCTAATATCAATATTCAAAACGGTCAGCAATCAAGAGGCATTCGAGGAGTGTCAAGTACAGCATGCACTAAATGTTCTAGAAGTACAGGGATTGTAACAATACTCCGACACTGTGAAATAGTATGGTAGACATTCTATACGCGAGTGCAGACATTCTAGGATTTCTGAATAGAATAAGTGTTGATGTTGCTAAAGCAATATATTATAGCCAGGGCCGTAACTATAGACGCCATAATTCGGAGCGGGAGGGGGGTGAATATTCATAATTTATAATCATGTTCACATACCGTAAAAACAATCGCTTTCAAAAGAAATCCGTCGGGCAGAACACGAGTATATGAATATTCCCCCCCCCCCAATTATTGCGTCTACAGTTATGGCCCTGATTATAGCGTTGAATCCTCGCTCATTTTCATCATCTTTCAAATTTTCCAAGTTGCAAGCGCTCCTATATGTATATATATTTTTGTCACTGAAAAGCCCCTTTAGGGGAGTGTCAATAAAGTCAATCAATCAATCAATCAATCAATCTCCTCAATACAGTGTTTAGTAATGGACAATAAACCTAATAAATGTTTGAGAGTACAGAGAGTTGATCAGGTTTGATGGCTTTTAAAAACAACTGTCCGACTTACAGAAGGCTTTGCATTCCCAGTTAACTTCTCGCTCTAAAGCATTGATTAGTTCCCTCGATAGAAACTCATGGCGAAAAAATGCATTTGCTATACTGGCTGCCACCGAGATAAACAAATGTCTCTAATTATAACAGTGGTATTTTTGTCAAAATTGCGTTTAACAACAACTCTGATGTTTGCCATCCCAGTATATATATATATATATATATATATATATATATATATATATATATATATATATATATATATATATATATACAGGGTGTATAAAAAAAAACGGAGTCCAACTTTTGTGCTTAATAACTTTCTGACTGCTACTTCTAATAAAACGGTTTTAGGCTTATTTTAAAGCCTGTTCATTTATCGCTCGAACAAATGGTCATCCGTGTCTTTAGTGCAAGTAATAACTGCACAGGAGAAAATTTAGTAAAACCTATCATGTTTAGATGCCGCTTAATTATACAAATTTACTGTGTTATTCCATAGTCGGTTGCAACGTTTGAATTTTCTTGTTCAAACTTTAATATTCTTGTTGCCACATCAGAAAAACACGTAAGAACTTGTTAAAAACATTCTAAAAGAGATTAGGTTGTTTTATTTATTTCAAAATCCTAAATTATTTCCAGAAATCCTCAAAACAACCTTACGTCCATGCATGATCGTCCGAACGAGCACCATCGAAACGGGCCGTAATGTAAATATAAATTAGCAAAGCTAAAACACGCTTCAGCCGGGATTATAACGCATTTGAAGTCAGCAAGTGAATTTAAAATAGTGTATTGGAAGCCATTATGACTTGATTTTTACAAGCAATTGCCAAAATGCCTCAATTTGCTCGTTTTGTTGACAAAATAAGTTATTTTCATCAAGTACCGGTTTCTTATTGCATCTCAAATTTTTGACTCTCCAATCGCAATCACTTAAAATATTATTATTCACGAACTTCTGGATTATATTTACGAAACAGCCCACGGTTGAAAAGCTGAATGTCTACGCTTTAAAATGAAAGTAAACCTGAACGTTTTGCTTTGATATTCGTTTCGAAATTTATATTTGAAGCGAGGACTCCGTTTTTTATGACACACCCTGTATATATATATATATATATATATATATATATATATATATATATATATATATATATAATATCGCAAGACACTTGCGTGATTAATTGACATTTCGCAGGAAGTAAACAACAAAATTCTGCTGATATATGATTGGTCAATCCATAGATAGAATTTGAATTTATTATAAGGGGCGGCACTAAATTTTATTAGAAGCGACTGCAGGCTCTTCCTTCCCAGACCCTCGCAGGCTAAAACTCATGGTTTTCCCGGACATAATATATATTATCCACATACAATCATAAATTGATGACATTTCTCACCCTGAATATGTAATGGCTGCTTATATTTCGAATAATTATTCGTATATGATTCTCACATACCAAACTGTTAACTTACCAACCAATAAATAATCATTCAACTGTACGACTCGTGCATCAAGTGGATTTTACGCAAAGAGTGAATTGTATTTTTGACTTTTTTTTAGAATACCCTTCAGTATTCTGTTCATGTTTTCCATTCTCTGTGGTGCACACCTAGTTGCTCGTAAATTCAAGAAAGTTAATCCAACAACATCGTACAGTATGTCCCGCATTATTTTCATCCTTTCGTTCACTTCCCTATGTTCCTTTTTACTTGCTTACATCTACGCCATTGTTTTTGTCAAGTATTTTAGAGAAACTGAAGGCAGGATTCGGAAAGCAATAATCGCCGCATTTACTCCAGGAATGATAATCCCTCTCCATGCGATAGCAAAATACGTTGCTGTGAGAAAGAGTTCGGAGATTATTTCTCCAGATCGAGCTTTTGCATTGTGTTATTTCATACGTGGTTGTTCCATTGTAGTGTATCGAACTATGCAGTCGGGTTTTCAAAATATCTGGCTTTTTATTGGATTATCATTGTTACATGGAGTCTCGAACGTATTAAGTAAGGCAACACTTAACTGGCGGATAAAAATTTGGAAGTTTATTATTAAATTCTACAATCGATCATGCTGCGGGCCAGGATTAACAGTGCAACCTTTAAATTCATCGCGTATTCGTCGATTCAACGCAGATCTTGAAATTCAGAATATCCTATTTGAGTACTCTTCGGTTATTTTAAGTCAGACATATTTAGCCTGTTATTTTGTAATGAGCTTCGATGTTCCACCCTGGCAAGTAATAAGAAATTCCTTAATCAGGATAGCCATAAGTTTGGCCATAGATTTTGTATTCAACATAGTCTCAGTATTCATTCAAATTCACTATTATGACATTCCCATGCAAAAGGTCTCGTTAAAGTACTGGCTACGTCACGTGACAATTAACTCGTTCATGATTATTATTACGGTATCGTTGTTTGGTCCATCACTGCTCATTCTGTTCATGAGCAACAACGATATGTTAAGAGACTACAAACTTAGAAATTGTACATCAGTATTTTAGACTCGGGCTAGAGCTAGGATGTTGGACATGACTAACAAAAGGTTTAGAAGTGAAACCTGACTGTCCCGAATGGCCCGGTATTCTTCGTGTTAATTTGTCTTACCTAATCATTCAAGGCTTCAAATATCCTCAAACCTTTACATTTTATGGCATGACCGAACAAGCAAAATCCATCTTACAAAAATTCTACCGGCATCTACTATACATACACCGTCAGATGTTAAATTATACTTCATTTTAATATAACTATTTAAAAAGCATTTTATATGGGAATCTTCTTAATTCCATGTACGGGGTTCGTGTTTATGTTAATTGTGCATTGTGTTCATTTTCATTTGGTATGTTAATTGTGTTTATGTGAATTCAATTTTCAAAAACTATGAGCTTTCGAGCAATTTTGCCATCAAGAAATAAGAAGTAATGATTTACTATGAGAAATCGTGAAATATAGAGCAAGTTTGCTTTGGATGCCGTTTAGAGTTATAGTGCTTGTGAATTTTGTTGTTTTAATTTTTGACGTAAAATATGCACTGGCACTGGTTTCTTTTTGAATGTAGTTATAAATTACCTGAAATTATTGAATAATTTCAACTTGTTTTGTTTTATTAAGTTCAAAACCTCATCAATAATTCATGAGGAAAACACAAAGAAAAATCCTAAGCGTGTCGTATCTTTATATGTATATGCGATGAGAAATTTCCCTTGATTTACATATTAAACTTTAACTTTGATTTTCTCGACTTGCTAGATCTTTATATCTGATAAAACACTACCGCTCGTATGTTTGTGATGTCTCTGAGTGTTAATTCCACATCGAGCAAGCTGAAAAGTTTGCTTGACTGCGGTGGGAATCGAACCCAAGACCTTTGGTTTGCTAGTCCAATGCTCTATACCAACTGAGCTACGAAGTCAACTGAGTCGGTTCGAGTGACTGATATTTCGGAACTCAGTCTAGTTCCTTCGATACTCAGCCTATAGCTATTTCTTTCGATATATCAGTGTGTTGTTACCATCTTGATTTTTTTTCACATTGAGAGACAACATCACATAACAGATACGCAGTGCATAACAAATGGCTTGCGCACAAAATAGTAAAAGCATTAATCATATTTTGAGTTAATAGATGGAAAATCTGTTGGGTTCTTAATTACTGTACAAATTTCAGACAATTTGCTGCATGCCAATAGCTGATTTTTAAGGAAAAAATGTAAGTTTGCGTGAATAGTTAAAGGGCTTAAACTAAAGCAAATTGTGTGAAATTTTGTACATTAATTGTACAAACTCAACAAATATGAATGCCTGAATGAGGGGTTACCTAGAATGTATGCCGATGATACCAACATAAGTTTTCAAAGTAATAAACTTGATGAGCTTGAAGATCTTATGAATATCGAACTTGGGAAACTTAAAAAATGGCTTAATGTTAACAAGTTAAGTTTAAATGTTGCTAAAACTGAGTTCATGGTTATCGGTTCTCGTCAAAGACTTGCAACATTAATTTGATGACCATGAAACTAATGTTTTTGTTGATGATCAAATTGAAAGAGTCAATAGCTCTAAATCTTTAGGACTTAAAATTGATGAAAACTTGACCTGGAAAAGGCATATTGATGAAATCTCAAAAAATGTCTCGGCCGCAATTAGCGCTTTAATTTAAAGCGAATAAGCTATATTAGTCAAGATAGATCAGCTAGAGTGTATCAGGGACTAATTGAGCCATATTTTTCCTACTGCGCTCCTGTTTGGGACGGCATTGGTAGTAATTTGAGTGATAAATTGCAAAAACTTCAAAATAAAGCCGCACGTGTTATAACACGTTCTTCCTATGATGCTTTATCTAGCTCTGTACTTGAAGAACTTAGATGGAATAATTTATATAATAACCGCAAAATGCAAAAAGCAATTCTCATGTATAAAGTCACGAACAATTTAACACCTATGTATCTACAAGATTTGTTTGTAACTAGAATTAGTCACTATAGTCTCAGAGATTCTGATTTCTGAAGGCAAACTGTTTCTCCCTAAACCTAGAACGGTTATCTTAAGCGCTCCTTTAGTTATAGTGGAGCTTCATTATGGAATAGCTTGCCTGAATCTCTGAGATCATCTTTATCACTTTCATCTTTTAAAAGATCTTTGTGAATCCAAATATTTTTAAGCTTAGAATAATTTTGACTATATTTATTATGTAATATTACTGAAGGTTTACCGTGTTTTAAATAAAGGCGATGTATGTATGTATGTATGTATGTATGTATGTATGTATGTATGTATGTATGTATGTATGTATGTATGTATGTATGTATGTATGTATGTATGTATGTATGTATGTATGTATGTATGTATGTATGTATGTATGTATGTATGTATGTATGTATGTATGTATGTATGTATGTATGTATGTATGTATGTATGTATGTATGTATGTATGTATGTATGTATGTATGTATGTATGTATGTATGTATGTATGTATGTATGTATGTATGTATGTATGTATGTATGTATGTATGTATGTATGTATGTATGTATGTATGTAAAGCTTTTAAATTTCGTGCGCAAGCCATTTTTAGTTTGTTAGAAAAGACGTGAGAGGCATTCACCCCCTGATCATAATATTCAAAATGACGGACATCCAGGGGTTGAATGCCTCTCGTAAGCGCACTGGCTAGGACCACATGCATGGACCATATAAAAATAATAATTCCATGTAACACACAAGTGCGAAATAAAATTATCTTATCGTATCCATGCTATGGCGTTAGCATTTTGATGACGTATCATTTCGAATCATGGCGTGGCAGCGGTTACGCTTTTTTGACTGAGTCGACCTTCTTGTGTCTCTTTATTCTGTTGCACTAATCTGTCGACTATTTTTGCCGTTTTATTATAAGTAATAGCATGGCATTCAGGTCGATTAGTGATTAAATGTACCCGAAAGCCGAGAGAGGTTTAGTAAACCTCTCGAGGCTTGATGGACATTTCATCACTAATCGACCGTAATGCCATGCTATTACTTTGTAATATCATAGTTGCCGAGGGAATCGCGCGTGGTGTGTTGCCTGTTTTGAATGCTGTTTGATTGTCTTATGATTGTGGTACGAACACTTTTCATATATACGCACGCGCGAAACACATCTCCGTGTTCATTCGTTTTAGGCATGCGCATAAACGGAATTTTCTCCCACAATTGAAATGTTCAAGATTAGGGAATAAAAGCTGGCAAAGTGATTGTTCGAATGTGTACGGGACGGTGTCGTCAGATACTGTCCATAGTTGTGCCGATGATTTTCGATGAGGTACAGCTCTCCAATCAGAGGTAATGAGGTACGCTTTTATCTTCTAAATTTCCCTCATCAAGCATGCAGGGGAAAATTAGAAGACAAAGAAATCCTTTGTTTTCAACTAAATTTACCCGGTAAATTTAGAAGACAAAGCGTATGCATGGGTAATGAGGTAAATTAGTGATTAATCGTACCTCGCGAGACAAAGGATTTCGAGGCAACTATGATATTATTGTACAAAATAACTATTCAGAAAATTCAAAAATATTCGCGTTTCTATGACAACACACAACGCGAGCCTTGGCCAATTGCTAAAATTTTAGTTATTACTTCGTGTAACACACCGTAGTTTGTGCATGGCAATTAAAAGTAGGCTGAACAATCAGATGGTATCAAAACTAGAGTAGGGTTATATTATAGGTTAACTAACTAGGAGTAACCACAGGTTAAAAGTGCGACCAATA